CAATGTGTAACTCACTACTACATCACCAGGGCTCCTTTGTAATATCTAGTATACAATAAAAATTACTAGACATGCAAAAACATAAGAAATCATGCTCTATAGTCAAGACATAGAACAGTTAATAAAAACCAAACTTGAGATGGACCAAATAAGGCATTAAAGCAACTATTATAAATATGTTTAAATATTTAAAGAAAAACATGCTCAAGGAATTTAAGAAAATATAGTGTTAATGTATGAAAAGATAGGGAATCTTAGAAAGGAAATACAAACAATAAGAACCAAAAGGAAATTATACGATTGAAATGATTGTAAATTTCAGTAACTGGATTGGAAAATTTGCAGGATTGACTTAGTGGCAAATTGGAGGTGGCAGTCGTTTGAAGACAGGTCACTGGCCTGTCCGATCTAGAAGACAGAGAAATCACACGAAGAAGACACAGTCAAGCCACAGGGACCTATTAGAGCAGCGGTTCTCAACCTGTGGGCTGTGACCCCTTTGGGGGTTGAACAACCCTTTCACAGGGGTCGCCTGATTCATAACTATCAAAATTGCAGTTATGAAGTAGCGACGAAAATAATTTTATTGTTGGGGTGGAGGGTCACCATAGCATGAGGAGAACTGTATGAAAGGGTCGCGGCATTTGGATGGTTGAGAACCACTGCATTAGATGGTATTGAGTGACCTAATGTAAGATAATTGGCGTTTTAGGAGGAAAAGAGAATAAGAATGCAGCAGAAAAATAAGTTTGAAGAAATATGACTAAAAATTTCCAAATTGGATGATACACATTGACTTAGAGATCCATGAAGCTTAGTGAATTCCAAACAAAATCACATCTGGGAACCTCATAGATTTCAGGCAAAGGGACTAGTATGTGAGAAGGTTAAGATGCATAACTAATTTAAGAGATGGAAAATGCTTTGATAATTTAGCCCTAAGAGAATAATTCCCTTCTTTCAATGAATTTTCAAAACAATCTCTTTTTCTCTATTATTTTGTCTTTCATAACTTACTAAAAAAACTAAAACAAAGAAAAATTGATGATAATTACTAATCTAGAATTCTAAAATAAATCTTAACTTTTGAATTTCTTTGGAATAAATTTACCTTTACTGATACTTCTTTAAAAATTAATTTTTAATTAATCTTTGCATCCCTGTTCTTTGCCTAGGCAAGCAAGAAAAGCTCACTTCCATCAGTGACTGATGGTCATTATGACTCATAGCAATAGTACTGCTTCTTAAGGCTTTGGAGGCTATGTATCTTTACGAGAGCAGAAAGCCTCATCTTTTTTTTTAATCATTTTATTAGGGGCTCATACAACTCTGATCACAATCCATACATCCGTCAATTGTGTAAAGCGCATTTGTACATTCATTGCCCCCATCATTCTCAAAACATTTCCTCTCCACTTAAGCCCCCCGGCATTAGGTCCTCATCTTTCCCCTCCCTCCCTGCTCCCCCCTCCCTTAGCCTCATCTTTCTTACAGCGTGACCTTGGGGTTAGCATTCGACTGCATAACCAACTACATTACCTGGGCTGATTCACTGGCTTCGAGTCAATTTTGACTCATAGTGACCCTATAGGTCAAGACAGAAGTGGCCTTGTGAGTTTCCAAGACTGTAACTACTTATAGAAGTAGAAAGCCTTGTCTTTTTCCTGCCTACCAGGGCCAGGCCTGGCATATTTTAGACACTGAGTTACTTAGTGGACTTCACGACAGATAGTCCCTGACATCACAGGGTTGTGTTCCAATAATTCCATGATAACTTTGTTCTGAAGTAAATTGAATACTTTAAAAAAATTTTTATTTTAGTTTTCATTACTATATTTCAGTGTTGTAAATTGTAAATCATAACATACATTGAACATCTGTGTGAATATCTGAGAATGATAAATTGCATGCTGCAGTTAAGCCCTGCAATATTTAATTTAGTGCATATTTATTAATAATATGTAATAAAAATGAGAATTTTAAGTAGTTTATTATAATTCAAATACATGGTAAGTCAGTGACTGTATTTGTTAAAATATATTTTCTTTCTGGAGACTGTTAATGCCAAATATAAGCACAAAAATGCTATGTGAACTTATTTTACATAATCCTTTTTAGAGTTATCACTCTGTTAGCAACTATTTTAGATATGTACAAGGTGGCTTCAAAAGTATATGAAAAATTCCATTATCGTTAAATTCCATTTTTCACACAGTTTTTGTTAGTCCAATGGTCTCCAACATGGAAAACATCCCCAACAATCCATGGGGGTACCACGAGAGAGCATTTATGTTTTAATTCTGAAATCTAAGAAATAAATGATCCTAGGAGCCCTGGTGGCATAGTGAGTTATTAATTGGGCTGCTAACCACAAAGTTAGCTGTTGGAAACTACCAGCCGCTCTATGGGAGAGAATGGGAAACCAAACTCACTGCCATTGGGTTGATTCAGATTTATAGCAGCACACTGTAGGGCAGGGCAGAATTACCCCTACAGGTTTCTGAGACTGTAAGTCTACAAGGGTAGAAAACTGGTGCTTTCTTAATGCAGAATGGCTGGTGGTTTTGAACTGCTGACCATGAGGTTAGCTGCCAAACACATAACTTACTACTATGCCACCAGGATCCTTCCCTGGGAGGAAGATGATTTCTATTCTCAAAGACAGTTGCAGTCTCAGAAGCCAAACCGTGGGCAGTTTTACCTTGTCCTCTTCAACAAACTCACTGCCATCAAGTCTATTGTGAATCATAGCA